ATAGTGGTCAGATTCTCGAAGAGACATGTGAGAGATGCTATTTTGAAAGCAAATTCGGGAACACCCTTGAAAATTGGGGGCAATAATATCAGGATTTTAAAAGATATTCCATTTGATATAAGAAGAAAGAACTATAAAGAATTAATCCTTTTCTTACAAACAAATGGCATCAGTTACAGGTGGTTAACCCCAGAAGGCGTCATTTTCAAGATTAACGATAAAAAAGAAAAGGTTGACTCGGTTTTTAAAGCACGTGAATTTCTGCGGACACAGCTTGGGGAACCAGAAGAGGGCAAAGAGGAGGAAAAAGAAAGCAAATCTGATGGTGAGGACTCCCTCACTGAAAAGGGGGCAGCTGCCCCCAAAAGCCCTTATAAACTGAGGATTAGAAAAGATAAGAATAAATAAGGGCTGAAGGACTCTGATTTGTGTCTGAAAAAATGTTGAAATAACTTGGGGATGCTCTGGGAATTTCTTTAAACAGTTAAAGGGATGGTTAAACGATAATTAATCTAGCATAACTGACTAAATTCATTGTATTATTAGTAGCTTTTTGAAAATAGCATGGTGTTAAGTTGATGTATGATCTCCTACTCTTGGGTTTTTAGTTAGTTGTGGGTCTTTTTTCTTTATTCCCTAGATGTAGTTCCCTTTCCTATATTTTCTGTTGTAGTTTGTTGTAGTCTGTTGTAGTCTGAGAAAAAAAACCCCAATAAAAACTCCCCCCAGAAGGATGAAAAAAAAAGAAAGAAAAAATAGCCATTTTGGAAAGTGGACTCTATGGCACTATACCCCACTGAAGGCCCTCCCTTCCCAAACCCCATCCTCCTCAGGCTCCACCCTCAAAAACTCTAGGTATTTCTCAACCCAGAGCTGGTAGCCCTACTCTATAAATCGAATGAACACAGAAACTATGTTGGAGACCCCCAGAGTGAGGTAGTGGATAGAGTGTCAGACCAGAACATGGGAGATGCCAGGTTCGAATCCCAACTCTGCCATGGAAACTTTCTGGGTGACCTGGAGCCAGTCACATAATCTCAGCATAACCTACCTCACAGGGTTGTTGTGAGGATAAAGTGGAGCACAGGAGAAAGATGTAAGCGGCCTTACTGTTCCCTCTAAGCTGAGTTAGTGTGAGCTAGCTCACAGTTTTTTAGCCTCCGGCTCACACATTTTTGTCTCAGCTCAGGAAGGAGGGCTCCAGAGCAAACTAATTTATGCAGCAGTCAATTGCTCACTCACAACTTTAATGCCAGTCACTCACAAAGTAGAATTTTTGCTCCCGAGACTCCACAGCTTAGAGGGAGCATTACAGTGGGGACAAAGGTAGGGTATAAATGAAACAATGAAATAGATAAATGGAAATGTTTCTCGATTGATGGGGGAATGATCCCAGGCACCTTCAATGAAAAAGATCTTGGGTAGCAGTACTTGGAGAGTCGTCTTGGAGAATGATCATTGATTTAGTGTTGCCAGCATCCAGGTGGTGGCTGGAGATCTCCTGGGATTACAACTGATCTCCATGTGACAGAGATCTGTTCACCTGGAGAAAATGCTTGCTTTGGAGGGCGGACTCTGTGGCATTCTATCCAGCCAAACCCCGTCCTCCTCAGAATCTCCCCCCTCCCAAATCTCCAGGTATTTCCCAACCCAGAGCTGGCAACCCTACTGCCCGTTAGAACAGGGACTGAAGAACTGTATAGAAATTTTGATTTCTGCTTTCTATAACACATGCCTTCTCCTGTAATGTCTTTTTTATAACATGCTGTGTCTAGTTTCCTGTTGCAAGCCAAATGGTGAGGCCAAATGGCCTCAATAGCCATGCCATATAACCACACATTCTTTCACACCTCTAAGTGGAAGAGCCAGACCTGACATGCAAAAAGTCACGTAGGCAATGGAGAAGCTGGAGTTTGGGTCATGTGACTGCAGGCGTGGTCTCCAAACTTCTAGCCAATCCTATGTTGCAGCTATGACAACCAACAATTGGGCACACCCCTGTCCACTCGTGGTTGGCTGGATGGCACGGCTAATCATGACTAGACTGGGGTTTAATTGATTGATCCCGATGGGAATGAGTGCTTGCTTGCTTTGGCTGCTCTCTCTGCTCCTGCTCTCTCTGCTTGTTTTATTGCACCTGGAAATGCTGCCTCGTGAGAGACAAAGAGTCGCTTTGTGAACTGGAGCACATTTCTCTTCAAAATCCCTTGGTGTCTAATTGGACTGTATACCTTGGACACTCTTGGAATATGGACACTACATTGGTAATTATGAATATCTTTAATGTGTAGTTAAGGCAAATTGCCCTAGCTTTTGTTATTTTGTAATCTCTGGTAGTCTATGCTAATCTCTGTACTGAATAAAAATTATTCTTAATTCTAAATGGTCTCTGATGTTGTACCTGAGTTCCAAGTCTGAATCTTGTGCCTTCTGCTCACCATATAAGCTACCTTTGTAAGATTAAGTGTGCATCTCTGGGAATGAGTTGCTAATGTGTTAAATTCCAGATGCCATTTGAGAGTTTGAACCTCTAATCTCAGGTTGGGGGGAACTACTGTAGAGGTTCTGGTGGCACATTGTTCTGAAACCAGAGAGGGTATAGCCTACCTCTTGGGTTGTTGTTTAATGTACTGAAAAGTACAGGATTCCCTCCCATTCCTGGACAGGCTTGGGTGGGAAGACCTCTACAAGAACAATCCAGTGTTCTGACTCCGTTCGTATGTTCTCAACAGAAAGAAGCATGCCACAACACAACAGTTTGGCATCATGGTTAGAGTGTTGGGCTGGGGCCCAGGAGACCTGGATTCAAACCCCCAGTTTGCCAGGGAAGTCTGTTGGCTGACTTTGGGCCAGTCACCCTCCCTCCCTGTCACCTATCTCACAGGGTTGTAAGCAATGCTCCCTCTAAGCTGTGGAATCCTGTGAGCAAAAACTCTACTTTGCAAGCTACTAGCATTACATCTGTGAGCGAGCAATTTGGCTCTGGAGGTTGCTCTGGAGCCATCCTTTCTGAGCTAAGACAAAAATCTGTGAGTTGGAAGCTAAAAAAACCTGTGAGCTAGCTCACACTAACTCATCTTAGAGGGAACAATGCCCGTGTGTGCTGTCCTGAGCTCCTAGGATCAAAGGTGACCTGAAAATGCAGTGGATAGAGAGAAAGCGCGCTTGACTGATATTAAAGATCTGATAGCTAGGTTCGAAGGGTGCATTTGCGAGTGATTCTGATATCTTTTTTAAAAAGAAGTTTGCATTCTCCAACTCTGCATTCTCCAAATGCAGGGGAAAAAATCTGCAGTCCTTGGAATGTTTATTTAATTTTCACAATCTCTGTCTTCTGCTTCAGATTAACATTTGCAAGTGCTGCAAAGAGCATTTTAAAGATAATTCCTGATAATACCATCATACACCGATCTTCACTAGGCTTGCTTGGAAGTAAAACCCTAATAAACACAATGAGGCTTACTTCCAAATAAGCACGCCCAGCACTGCAGCTGAACAGCCTGAGACAGTACATATTTTCTCAGAAATAAGTCCTGTGGGGTGTACTGGCTGGCAGACCCTATTAAAGCATTTAATGAGAAATATTTGGAAAAAAGGAATGCAAGCCAAGATGATATCTTTTCAGCTATAGTCTAGAACTTATCAATCCCGTATTCATGGGATCACTCTGAAGAAGCCAAGCTTGCAGAATTCTAGAATGATTTCAGTGTACCCCTCAGAATGAGCCCGTTTCACTATTCTGCCAAAGAAAAGGCATGAAATTGGTGCCGGGTAGTTACCTGCTCATCGCTAAGGAGTACTTCTTGGTGTCTCTATCACTCACAAGGCAAGTTCTTTCGAGACCCTCCATGGATGTCCTGATGATCTTGATCTTAAATGATGATGGTGCCACTTCCTGGACCTTGATGAGGAGTTAAAATCGATCTTGCAGTTAAAGAGAAATCCCTGCCAAAGCAAAACCTGTCACAAATCTTGTCATGAAGCCCAGTCCCACATCTGAGAGCATCTCTCATTCCTTCAGGGACTCTCACGTGTTGTGTGGTCTCTGAGGCGTAATGGTCTCCCCTAGGTGGCACATTGGGAGACTTTTCTCATAGGACACAAGGAGCTAGCCACTTGAGATTTGCTGGCTCAGGTTCTTGGGCATGGTCAAATACACACAAAAGGTAATCATTCCATCTGGGTAGCCATGGGAGTCTGTAGCAGCAGAGTGCAATGGGATTCCAGCGATGCCTTAGAAACTATCAGCTCATGCTGTCGTCCTTAACGTATGGTTGAATAAATCCTGTGCATCTCTGAAGCACCGCTGGATTCCTGTTTATCTTCTACATGCAAAAGGTAATTAAAACAGTCCCGTTTCTCTTTGAAGTAGCTATTCACCTCTCTAAAACAGCAGCCTAGATTCTTTGACTTTAATCTGTTTAATCCTCAGTGAAGGTGGGGGGTTTTTGGCTGTCAAGATGCAGCCAATTTATGGCGACCTCATGAAGTTTTCAAGGCAAGAGATGTTCAGAGGTGGTTTGTCATTGCCTGCCTCTGCATAGCAACCCTGGTCTTCCTTGAAAGGATTTAAAGATGTTGTTGTTGTTGTTATTGTGGTTGCTATTAGAAGAGAGGAGGGGGGACTAAAATGTATCTTCAGCATGAGTTTTTAAAAAAATCACTACTACTCTTCAAAGGAAACTATGTCGATCATTTTCTGGAGAGGTACAAATTACATCTGCTGTGGATAACCCCCAAACCCATTACGTACTATGAGCGTAAGAAGGGTCATATGGAGTCAGACCTAAAATAAGTTCCAACAGAGTCAGCCTCTGGAGCAAAGGTGAGGGGTCACCCTTTTTGGTATATCCCCAGCTCTTGAAATTCAGAGAGGTATAGGACAACCCCGTGTAATGTACCGGTTAGACTGTTGGACTAGGATTCGGGAAGCCTGGGTCTGAATCCCTACCTTGCCAAGAAGGTCACTGGATGCCCACAAGCCAGTCACACTGTCTCACCTACCTCCGAAGTTTGTTGTGAAGAATAAAATGGAGAAGGGGGGCTGCATTTAATAATTTAACATAGATTCAAGAGCCTTACCCTGGAATCCATCATGGCCATGTGTGCCATGCCTATATTCAATATACTATGGGGCCTGGTCAGTAGTTACACAACCATTTGATACCTGCACCTTATGAATGTTTTGTGATTTTAACCTGTTTTAATCTGTTTTTAACTTTTAATGTAAGCCACCCTGAGCCTGCCTTGGTGGGGAGGGAGGGGTATAAATCTAAATAAGTAAATAAATAAATGTACTGTGCACCTTGGGGAAAACAGGAGGAGGAGGCGGAGATTGGATTTATACCCAGCTCTTCACTCGGAGTCTCAGAGTGGCTTAAAATCTCCTTCCTTTCCTCTCCCCGCAACAGACACCCTGTGAGGTACATGGGACTGAAAGAGCTCTTTTGAGAACTGCTCTTGAGAGAACAGCTCTGAGAGAACTGTGGCTAGCCCAAGGTCACCCAGCAGCTGCATGTGGAAGAGTGGGGAATCAAACCTGGTTCTTCAGATTAGAGTCCGCGCTCCTAACCAAACTGGCACTAAGTGCCATCTAATTGCAACTGACTTATGGTGTCCCCAGCAAGGGGCTTTCAAGGCAAATGAGAAGCAGAGGTGGTTTGCCATGGCCTTCTTCAAAGTCTTGCTTGGTGGTCCCCCCTTGCTTATGAGATCGGACATGATAGATGGATGATAGATTATAGATGATTGATAGATAGATGATGGACGGACGGATAGACAGAATAGCCCATAAGGATAAAAGCTTGGACTCAGCTTCTTGAAAATTAAGAAGAGCTCTCTTGTTATTTCTTAACTGGAGCAAAACAAACAAGCTTTCCCCAGCTGCTGCACAAATATTTATTTGACTCTTAATCATTTTCAGAATTGCATATCGTATTAGGGAACAACACCGTTACCTGGTGAAAATGATGACAGGCAATATCACACTTCAAAACTTCCTGGCAACCAGACTCTCACTGAAGCTGATGCTTGAAAACAGGTTCATTTGGGCTCTGTCTATATCTGTCCCACTGTTCTTTTTCTTAAGAAGGTTTTCCATTACTTTAAATGTATGTCTTATTACTAAGGCACTAGCTGGTAACCATCAGAGTTCAAACTTCATGATGCAAACCAGGCTGGGAGAATGTCATGAAATTCTATAGCTATCGACTAAAGTAGCTAGAATCCTTTGCTCCTGACTTTTATATTTCCTATGTGCGTATGTAAAGTGCTGTCAAATCACAGCTGACTTATGGCAACCCTGTAGAGTTTTCAAGGCAAGAGATGTTCAGAGGTGGTTTGCCACTGCCTGTCTCTGCACAGCGAGCCTGGAATTCCTTGGTGGTCTCCCATCCAAATATTAGGCGGGGCTGACCTTGCTTGGCTTCTGAGATCTAACAAGACTGGGCTAGTCTGGGCTATCCAGGTTAGGGTCATATTGCCTTTACATATGAGAATGTGAAAATATCAATAAATAGGAGATTTGTAGCATCTTAAAGACTAACAGTATTTTATTCCATCATAAGTCTAGAGCCCATTTCATCAGATGCATTTAGCGGATCCTCATTACATAGACATTTATATATGAAATTACATATATATTTTAAAATAATTATAATATCAGAGACAGAAAGCTGTGAAATGCAGGTTGAGAGATCTCTCTCTATAATAATTCTATTTTGGTGGTGGCGTGCTCCTGAACATTCCACACGGCACCCACAGCCATTGGCTCCGTGATCTGTCACTCAGAAGCTGTCCCTATCCACTGGCTGTGTTGCCTGAGTCTCACCTCCAACATTCTAAACAGTTTGCTGTTCCTCTCCCCCCCATAGCCAGTCAGAACACAGAGGTCATTTGCATATGCGGCCTGATTGGTCTTTGCCTCGGAACAAAGAGGTCATTTGCATATGCGGCCAGATTGGCCTTTGCCTGTAACATTCTAAACAGTTTGCTGTTGCTTTTGGGAATCAATGTCCTGAGGTAAAATACATTTCCCCTTAGTGCCTGTTGGGGAAACCATTGTTGCCAATCTCCAGGTGAGAGCTGGAGATCACTCAAAATTACACCTGCTTTCCAGATGGCAGAGATCAGGTCCCCTGGATAAAATGGTGGACTCTGTGTCCTTATATCCTGCTGAGATGGCCCCCATATGACAGTCAATATGACATTGCAGTCAGGGCTTCAGAGCACGGGAGAGGCTGCAGGTGAGGGGGGGTGGAAAGCTGAAGAGTGAGGGGGAAATAAAGGTAGGTTGATGGTTGGCTGGGAAGGAGATAGGGTTGCCAACTCCAGGTGGGAAATTCCTGGAAATTTGAGGGATGGAACCTGGAGAGGGTGGGGTTTGAGGAAGGGTGGGACCTCAGACAGGTACAATGCCATAGACTCCACCCTCCAAACCAGCCATTCCTTCATGGGGAGCCATTGTTGCCAATCTCTAGGTGGGGGCTGGAGATCACTCAGAATTACAACTGCCCTCCAGGAGAGAAGGGGGAGGAGATGGAAAGCTGAAGTCAGAGGGGCAGATAAAGGTAGGATGGTAGGCTGGGAAGGAGAAAGGGTTGCCAACACCAGGTTGGAAAATTCCTGGAGATTTGAGGGGTGGATCCTGCAGAGGGTGGGGTTTGAGGAGGGGTGGGACCTCAGACAGGTACAATGCCATAGACTCTACCCTCCAAACCAGCCATTCCTTCATGGGGAGCCATTGTTGCCAATCTCTAGGTGGGGGCTGGAGATCACTCAGTATTACAACTGCCCTCCAGAAGAGAAGGGGGAGGAGATGGAAAGCTGAAGTCAGAGGGGCAGATAAAGGTAGGATGGTAGGCTGGGAAGGAGATAGGGTTGCCAACTCCAGGTTGGAAAATTCCTGGAGATTTGAGGGGTGGATCTTGGAGAGGGTGGGGTTTGAGGAGGGGTGGGACCTCAGACAGGTACAATGCCATAGACTCCATCCTCCAAACCAGCCATTCCCTCATAGGGAACTATTGTTGCCAATATCCAGGTGAGGACTGAAGATCACTCAAAATTACAACTGATCCTCAGGTAGCAGAGATCAGTTCCTCTGAAGAAAATGGCGGACTCGGTGTCATTATACCCTGCTGAGATCGCCACAGCAAATTGACACTGAGTGCCAAAGCCATGGCACTCTCCCACAGCCTCTTTCTAGAGCTCATTGTATTTATTTACACAATGAGCCTTATTCCTAGTATTTATATAAAATTAAAAGGTGATCAAGGGGAGTACATAGACCATGCACAACACAATAATTCTCTCTCTTTCTCTCATTTTAATAAGAGAGTTGTCACCTGTAATACACATGAATACACATGAAGCTGCCTCATACTGAATCAGACCACTGGTCCACTAATGTCAGTACTGTCTTGCTCAGACTGGCAGCGGCTCTCTAGGGTCTCTGGTCTTTTACTAAGGATGGGCACAAGCCAAAGCACGAAGCAAAATTTGTGCTGCATTTTGCCCTGTTTGTGTTTCAGGAACCGAAGTCTGTGATGGGTCCATGGACGTAGACAGAGACTTCCACAAACTTTTAAGATGGTTTTGACGGCATAGTGGAAGTGCGGCAAATAATCCAATCCACAATATGCTAGTGCTGAACTATATACAGTGGTTTTATTTGCAATATTATACATACAGTCCAAGTAAGCACTGGTAGAATCCAAATTCTTAGGCAGACTAACAAAGTGCTTTGCAAGACATCCAAATTATGAGAGTGATACTGTACAGACAGAGTACACAGAGTATATACTGTGAAGCACCAATCACATCAAAGTGCTGACTCACTGTGACTCCTGTGAG